GTCACGAAAATATCTGCGATGCGTGTAATTTGATTGTTTTACAATGAAGGAAAAAATTGTTTTATAACAACACCAGGGAAGTGCTCACTTCTAAGGAAGTGCTATCCTCAGTTTGCTTAGCTTCTAAGTCCTTAACGTGTCGTAAATAAATCAATTTGATAAAGTATTTTGAAAATTGCTGGTGTTTGTGGCTGTCTATTACTATGCAAAGTTTTTGATTAAATTTTCACAATTTTCTCTTTTGCTCTATTGACTTCAGTTATTACTAAGTAAATAGTTTGATTAAAAAAATGAAATATTTTAGTTATAATACAAGTATTTTGAAATGTTGGAACTTAATGGAATTTGTGTAGAAATTTATAGAAATCTTGTGTATTTTGCGTAGAAATTTGAAGTAAAAGTGTGAAAAATTGAATAAAATGATTATAATTAAATTTTTATTATACACGAACAAATAAGAGGTTTTAATATTATAAAATTAAAGAAATTATTACATCAATAAAACAGAAAAATGATATACATATTAACTTGAGTTCTAAGAGATTAACTTGCAGCTATGCACAAGATTTCTGCACAGTAACACAATCTGCAGCTAAAGTCATTAAAATTCCATTAAATATACAAAAGAAAAAAACAAAAAAATTCTATCTTCTTTTCTACAGCAGAGAACGGAACAACTGTTTTTTGCTCCAACCTACTTCTGATTGCGGCATATTGATTGTCAAAAATCTGTAATGCTTATATGCTGAGATTCTTTTTTAAATTTTATAATTTAATTTATTTTTATTTAATTTTAAATTTTCATTTTAATACAAAAATATTTGTAATGACATATAATTTTAACATAATTTTGTAGAGTTTACGCATTGGCGAATAAAAAAGCTGAACTTGAATTTGAACAACGTTCAATGGCAAGTTTGCTTTCCAAGTTTCGTATAGATTACTCTGATTTACAATTAATTCCGGATATTACGAAAAAACCACAAGAAACATCTACACAATTCTTTAATGAGCTCATTAAAGATTTTGTGCAAAGCGAAAAAGAAAATGGACCTATAACAACAATATTAAGTGAAGAAGAAGGTAGGCCAAAAATACTTTTAACGTTTATTGCTTAATTTATGCCAATTCATAAAAAAAACTCTTTCATATTTCCGCTTATAGCACTCATCACGGAAGATGATTTAATGGCAGTACAGGATAAAACTAATCGTTACTTGCGTTTACGTGAATATTTGCAAGAGCAGTCAACTAAATCTGACTTGGTCGTTATGACTTTACCCATGCCACGTAAGAATATTGTATCGGCGCCGCTTTATATGGCTTGGTTGGAAAGTCTAAGTCGTGAAATGCCTCCATTCCTATTCGTACGTGGCAATCAGACCAGTGTGCTGACATTCTATTCATAGACATCTAAAACAAGAATGAAACTATGTGCAAAATTATCTTTAATTAGAACAGCTTGGTCTTACTGACTTGCAAAAATGAAATAGATGCAGAAATATTTATATTTGTTTTGATTTCTTAAGTAGCCGCACATACTAAATAATTGACTAGAAAATTAGTTTAAACATTTTGAAAAACAAGCATATTCTTATAAGAAATTTGTGAAAATGTAAAAGAAAAAATTAATGACAATTTAATTATATATGAATAGTTTAATTTATTTATAAAATAAACTACGCACTTTCACATGTGCAATTATTAATTATAATAATAATTTAAGTTAGTCTAATTATCTGACAATACATCTCTTTGTAGAATTTTAATTTTTTCATAGCTTAATTAATGTTTAAATATCAAACGAATTTGTTTTATGTTTTTGTATTTTTAAAAAGAATTATTCTTCTTATATTATAAATTGTACTTGATTAACATTACACATTCGAATTAGTTTTTGTTAAGCTTAAATTTATTATAGTATTTTATATTTACACTTTTAATGAAAATAAACATTTTACTTTAAGAGAAACATATTGTGGTTATTTAATAATTATTCTGCAAAAGGTTATCACATATAGAAGTGATGCCACCAAAAAGAACTTTATTTATCAGACCAAGCTTTGTTTCGTGCCTTAGTAGTCTTGCTAGAGATTACTGCTTGTGACTACAGTTGCGATGCTTAGTATACTAGGTGGATTGATAATTACCTAAGAAGTGTCGAGAACTACATTGAAGCATAAAATATAATTTTCCAAAAAAATTCGTTTTTATTACTTAGGCCGTGTATTTATCAATCAATCTAGTATGTATTCCATATAAGTAACTTAGACGTGACTTTTTTTAGATAATTGTTTATCAATTTAAACGAAATCAATTTTTGCGAAGCACTGCAAAAATTATATACATTTAAATACATAAATACATTTCTGCTGGCAATGCTATGCCACAACCACAAACTATAAATGGTATAAACACTTTTAAGGAGGTCAGAAAAACTAGAGTCCTGGTCATTCTAACACAAACATGAATCATAAAAACGTAATATAGTGTTTGTTAGTAGAAAAAAAAAACATGTTGTTGTTGTTTTGCTGTAGCCCGCCGGTAACTGAAAAGCAGATAACATGTAAGGATTACAAGACGAAGTGAATGCATGGATGAAGTTAGAGTTAAGGAGATAATGGGAAGGGAGGAAGGGGGAGCATATAATTGAAATTAACGAAGAACCAAGGTTCCAAGAACGGCCGGGTTTACATCCCGGAGCCACTCATCGAAGACGACTTAGCACTGTTCAACATCCCCCAAAGGAGTCACACAAGCAGGTATATGTTTGTTTGACATTTGTCGTTTGAATATAACCATCAGAGAGGTTGGAGAAGAAATTAACATACCATACCCTTCACTTGAAAAGGCTTTAACGATTATTTTAATCGAATAGTTATTTTACTCAAATAGTTTATATCAGATATTTTCAAATAGGAAATTTTATATTTGCTTATCTATTTAAATAATATATTTCATATAAAAATTTGAACTAAATTAAAGTTAAATTTTGTGCAGCTCAACATCTTTTTATTCACATTTATCATTCCAGTTCTTTCTACATTAAATTAAATAAACAAATATATAAAAATACAAACAATTCTCATATTTACATTGAAACCGAGCTTTTTGATTTATTTAAATAAATTCTTTCAAATTTCTTTGAGATACAAGATATCTATGTAATTATTAATGAAAATGTATTTTCTGTGAAAATTTGTTTGTGAATAAAGAAGCCTTGTCGTCTTTGTAGATACTCTTCTATTGAGTTACAAAAATATTACACAGAGATGTAGTGATTAATATTGCTGAATAAAAAGAAAATTCATTTAACCTTATTCAAATTACTTAATTACGAAGAAATGGCAGGTAATTCCTTTATTTATTCATACTTATTAAGTTACTTCCATATAACTTTTAAGTAATTACTAAATAATATTTTGTGCTAATGACATGACTTGGTATTGAGATAAATTTCTTTACTCAGCAGCTGTGATGTGGCTGTTTCAGTTAAGGTGACAAATTTTTTACATCAGAGCTCTGACATCTTTGATTGAGTTTACTTGACCTAAAAAAATACACGGAAATTTTCCTTTGATGTGAAAATAAATTAATGAAATTTTTCACAAATAAAACTTCGTTTTTGACAATAAAAATTGTGTACGTCGAAGTATTTCAACTATTGTGTGTCGCTGAGGAACGTAGTAAGTCAAGCAAAAATCCATAAAGTTTACAAATGTTTCCTTGTGAACGTGCATTGAATATTTAATAAAATCACAAATCAAACGTAAAATTATTTTGAACATTTTTTAGAGATGTGAAATCAAAATAAAGAACTTTTATATACGCAATAAAATAAAGCACAAAAAAAAAATAGACACTGAAAAATGCGGTTCAGATATGTTTTTAAGAATAAATGTTAAAATATTAGCATTTAGACATGTCAACTGGTAGTTGATGATTACAAAAAAAAGAAGAAAAAGAGCTGACGTGTAAATTCTCTCATGTTCAAAATCCTGAAACCCTGAAATAGAATACCAAATTACTTTAAAACGAAAAAAAAATTTGATGTGAAAAAATATCCTTTAAGATTTGTAGAAAACTAACTCAGTATGACATTTTGTGCTTCATATGTCACACAGTTTTTCGGAACGGAGCTAAAATATTTTTATATACTCGTAATTGCTTTGGTTTAAAAAATAAAAAATAGAATGATATTTGATTAAAACATTTGCTTATTTATACAGTTAAAAATACAAATGAAATTAAAATATTTTAAGGCTTCTGCTTTAACTTAATACAGTACATTTGGCAGCGCTTAATATCTTACTTCAATTTGAATAATAATTTTTTTATTCATTCTAAATAAAAATAATAAATCAAACGATATTTTTTTTTTTGTGAGACTGTGAGACTTGAATCCACTAAAACCACCTCTTAGGAATGTATGGAGTGGATTTCCACAGCAATATGGAAACTTCATTCCAGTAATCAGGGAGGAGAGATGAGAACAGAGGCTAAATACCTAGTGCACTAGGTTCATCTAAGCCAGTAAGCATTAGTAAGCATTCACTCCCTCAGTGAATTAGGGAGTGTGGGAGATACTGAAGAGGGTTGGGTTACGGCTAGTACGAGGGGTGATATTAACGGTAGACTTTGTGGCCAGGGTCACGAAAGCCGCGGTTACAGAAGGAGATGACAAAGTAATGGTATAGGTACTGCGGAGGTTAAAAGCTCAAGGTTTGAACAAGGTCTTCAGGGAGGGTGATGGAAATGGAGACGTTAGGGGGGAGGTCGTGAAGTCAGGTGAGGTACTTACGGGCGAGTGACAAAAGGTACTCGTCAACACGAGTAAAGAACAGAGACGAAAGAATAGAGACGGGGAAGTGCTTGCCGTAAGGGTTGCACTTATAGTTGGTTCAATCGTTAAGAAGTGAGAAAAAAATACTTTGAACACAAAAATATTGATTCTATTCGTACAAATAATATGTAATTTAAAGAATAGATCAGTGAAGGATTTACCTAACTGACGTATATAGTTGTTGACAGATAGTTTTACGACAATTATCTTGTATAAGCATCTTGTAATTATGATAAAAAAATTCAGTATAAAGTTAAAAAGGTTGTTAGTGTCATTATTAGTATTAGTATATGCTGCACATTTATATTAAGTTTTTTTTTTATTTTAAATCATAGTGCAATCTACTGTATCTACTATCATATTTGAAAACGTATTTTCTTAAAAAATATCTTTTTTGAATGTACTATATATGCAAAATTAAGTTGTGGACTATAACAGCTAATAGTATACCATCGGTAACTATATGAGAGATCAGATAAATTTAAATTAAGAATATATATTTGTGTAGTGTTACAAATCTGTTTATTTAAGTAATTTTAAGTTTTATACTACTGAAACGAAATTTGAAGAATAATACCTTCAAGATTTTCAAGTCAAAATTCGTGATAATTAATTTATTTGAACTTTGATCAGGCTTGTAAATCAATTGTTTAGTAAAAAATATAGAATCTCTGCTTGTTCTTATTTTTTATTGCACTCCTTATTTATTTTTTTTATCCTACAGAATGCATAGCATTTTATGTACGTTTATTATAATAGTATAATTAATATTAATGAATTTGTATATGTGTTTATATATTTATTAATATAATTGAATATAATTATATTTTTTGTTAACAAATTATACAATTTTAAAAAATGGAAAATTCATCCTATGACCCGCTTACAACGGCGATTATTAGAATATTTTGAAGGGACTTTATATATTGAGTTCTCTATTCACTTTATTGCAATTATAAATACTTGTACATTCATAATCGTAAGAATCACATTTTTTATTAATGAAAAAGATCTGTAAATTTTGAGATTTTGAAGTTCAGAAAACTCATCTTCCATTTCAATATATGATTTTCTCGCAATAGTGAATGTTAAAAAATTTCGAAGGAAATTTGTATGAAAGCGTGCTGTACTCATTTTATAACAATAATAAATACCTTTTTTAAAAAAATACAATACTTAAAAAGTAAATTCGTTATTTTCATTTTGTTTAAATGTATATAACATACATCATGCAAATATTTTTTTTAAAGTGGCTATCAACGTGGAAGAATGCTAATTTAATATACAAAGGAAACTAAAGTTTAATGTCCTCGTAATCATAAAAGTATTGCGACTTTCGGTTTACTGGCATATGACAAAATTTTTCTAAAAGGTGGCTGCGCTTCATATCATTCACTCACATGAAATCATTGAACTTTAGCTTTTAACTCTCGAGAATTTTATACAAATTATTGCCACAAAGAAGTGACAGTGCGGATACGACCTTAAATTTTCCATAGAAAATATTTTAGAATTTAAAATGTTTTGTATAATTCAGTTATATAGTAAATGTGACAAAATGTACTAAAATTTTTGCTTTGGAAAACAATTTTATTTATATATCATTCATATCAACTCTTACTACTTCAAATAAGTAAAAACATCATAGTTGTATCTAGCAAATAATATAGTCTTGTTTAAAATATAAAAAATAAAATTTAAAAAACCGTAAATACTTAAATATTATATTTATTTCAAGGAATTGATGTCCTTTGTCAAAGATATTAT